ATCATGTTCCAATGAAGCCAACAGGACCACATCATCTGCAAAAAGCAGAGATGGGATCCTAAGGTCACCAAAACGGATCCCCTCAAGACCTCGGCTGCACCTAGAAATTCTGTCCATGAAAGTAATGAACAGAATCRGTGACAAAGGGCAGCCTTRSYGSAGTCCAWCTCTCACMRGAAACRAGCCCGACTTACTGCCGGCAATGCGGACCAGACTCTGACACCGGTCGTACAAGGACCTGACAGCCCATATCAAAGGGCCCGGTACCCCATACTCCCGGAGAACCCACCACAGGGCCCCCCTTGGGACACGGTCGAACGCCTTCTCCAAGTCCACAAAACACGTGTAGACCGGTTGGGCGAACTCCCACGCACCCTCCAGGACCCTGCTGAGGGTGTAGAGCTGGTCCAGTGTTCCACAACCAGGACAAAAACCACACTGCTCTTCCTGAATCCGAGGTTTGACTATCCTACAGACCCTCCTCTCCAGGACCCCCGAATAGACCTTACCAGGGAGGCTTAAGAGCGTGACCCCCCTGTAACTGGAGCACACCCTCATAAAAACTCTTGTGTAGATAAAAAATACTTTTCTGAGAGCAGATTTAAAACTTAAAATGTCCAAATCTAGGTTTAGCAACATGCTAACAGTCAAGATTCTATTTGTATCATTTCATCCAGTTAGATTTTACTGTAATGAACATCTAACTATGAATTTGCGTTTTCTGTGAAGAGTGAATTCTGAGAGCTGAACGAAATTTGTTGAAGATGCTGAAATTGAGTTTGTAAAGCCGAAAGATTGAAAAGCGTTTAGCTAAGCATCAACTTAAAGCTAAAAGCAACAAAACAGCATCTAAAAACTAAAGTTAGCATGGGAAGACAAAACTAAAGTGCATTTGTTTATTGATTGATTCATTCCAGACATGTCAAATTCACTATAGAGCGTGTCTGCACACACATATACCACCCTCTTCGGATGTTATCATCCATTAAATGGACATTATTAGTCGTTAGCAGGCCCATGGAATGGCTTCAGAATGTACACATACATTTTAAACCTCATGTAAAATAAATTTATATCAGTAAATGAAACTAATGCAAGCATGCTAATGTTTGAAAGAACTGAAGGGATCTATATGAATTTCTACATATAAAATGTATTTTTAAAAGAAGTGATAAAAAACAAAAGATGACAGCCGGCTCATTGAATGCGCTAAAGGTTTGACTAAAATAGCACAAATATGCAGGAGTAGTTATCATATAAAAAAAAAACCAAATACTTAAATAAACAAGAGAAGAAAGTAATTAATACCGATTTAGCATTTATTCCATATGTTTTTATGACACAAAAATTCAAGTTACAAAGTGTTCATCAAATTTTAACATTATTTAATTTGACAAATTGGTCTTACTTTGACCAACTCCAATTAAATAACATAAATTAGAAAAGTTCATCAGTCTTTTTTTAATAGTAACTTTTTGTTTCACAACAGAAGAGAAGCTGAAAATGTTTGAAGATTTGTGCATTTTCAAGAACCATAAAATCGTCACACAGCGGATGGACGGAGTCATCACTGCTGTTTTCCTGTCCTTCACAAACAGGATGGGGAGCCTCAGTGGAAGCTGAGCAGGTGACGTTTGGACTGTAAAGTCATAGTTCTATATGATTTTCAGCCATGAACTCAATGATAACCTTTGAGTGTAACCTTCATAACTCTCTTCCTGAAAAAATGTTTGGGAGTTGTTTTGACAGCAGGGACAGAGCAGAACAAGTGTGGAATTGTGTTTCTGCAATGGAAAAAGTGTTGGAAGGATATCACTGAGGTGAGGAAAGTGAAAAACTTCCTGAAGAACATCCTTTTTTCACTCAGTTTTTTATGTATTATCTCTACATCTAGAGCAGTTTTGTACAAGACAATAGAAAAGAACAAAAATGTTTGTTATTCACTTATGTTAGGTCAATAAAAACACATTTCTTCAAACTCCTTGACATTTTGGGGGTTCGACACTCCGCAGGGACACAGTAAAACTTTAATATCAGAATTGTTTTATTATAAGCTGAATGGGATTTCTCAGAGGACATTTTTTTGAGTGTCCACCTTTGAAATGTTTGGCAGTGACCCTTTCGTCTAACAGGAAAACGGAACTCAAAATGTCACCAAAGCTCCTCTCTGCGGGGTTTTACAGGTTCAGATTTTTCCTTTAAATGTCACAAGGTTTTGGGTTACACAATGCATTCTCAGCGAGGGTGTTACTATAACATATTAAAGCTCTACTCTAGCAGAAACCCCTGCTTACTCCTTTTTACTGTAACTGTATAATCTTCTGTTTAAATGCATAAAATGTTCTATAAACTTCATAAAGCTTTTAGGTTGCATCTTTCTAAGGAAGAGCATTGCATTCACCTAATGAAAAATATTTGATCCCTGATCTCATAATTACGAGATCAGGATCTCATAATTAAGAGACAAGATGTCTCACAATTATGAGATAAGATGTCATAATTATGGGATATTATCTCATAATTATGAGAAAAGATTTCATAATTATGAGATAAGATGTCATAATTACAAGATGTCATAATTACGAGATGTCATAATTACGAGATGTCATAATTACGAGATGTCATAATTACGAGATGTCATAATTACGAGATGAGATGTCACAGTTAAGAGAAAAGATGTCATAATTACGAGATGAGATGTCATAATTACGAGATGAGATGTCATAATTACGAGATGAGATGTCATAATTACGAGATGTCATAATTATGAGATATGATG